TAAATCATCTGTCCAAAATCCCATAGCTACATGCTGAGATTTCAGCCGAATTTATCTGAACCAAAGCTCTGTCATAACCACACTGCCTCCTATGTTGAGTGTTAAATCACTCTCATGTGTGCCTTTCTGTTGACAGGGGTACTTTTGGAGGACCTTGAGGACTTTTTAGGTGGGGCGGAATAGAAACATCGTTAGCAAGCTTTACATTGGGGTCAGGATGATGGTGCAGGGCCAGCTTGGCAACAATAATGAAGCTGCTCTTCAAAGACAGGATTGAACTGGTAGTCCCCTGTGAGAGTCCCTTTAATAATCCCATTCTCTGTGCCTGAAAAGGAAAGAGAACCAAAGATTTGCAGAAATTTTAGAGCAAGAAGAAGCCCTTATGGGTTTCTTAATAAACCCATAAGAAAACTAAGACTGAGAAATTAAGAGACTTGATACCATTTTTCAGTTAAGACAAGAGGAATGGGGATTGGCAGGGAAAGGGAATGGAAGGCAGTTCACATCGACGGAGCACCTACTATGTGCCAGGCTCTGTACCAGATGCTTTTTGAGTATCATTTCCTTTCCCATCTCCCTCACTGAGGGCCTGTTTAGTGATTTCACCTTGGTGCCCTCATACAGCTGTAGTAGATGCTCAATAAATACCACTGACTATTCCAATACATTACTGAGTGAACTCCTCCCCAACTAGCCTTACCATCTCCATTTTACGAATGAGGAAACTGAGGTTCGGTTACCTGACGTAGCTTACCCATGTTCACCGAGTTTACCCATTGACTCCAGAGCCCACAACTCCTTGCACACATTAGTGTAGAAAAGATACATATCCAAGCAGATAAACAGACCTGAATATCAACTTTCACTGCCTCTCTCCTACTTTTTAGCAGAGCTGGAGAACAGAGATCTGAGTAAGGTCTGTTAGCCCTATGATGTCATTATTCTCACAAAATATGCTAGGATCCACTTACAGTATGCTGTGAGGTATCATAAATAATTAAAAGAGAACTGCACATCTTAAAATAAATGAGCTCCATACACTTGAACACGATGCAGCCTTGGATTTCCACTGTTTTGTTTCCAGCTCTCTCTGATGTGCACCCTGGTAGTCATTAGTCAGGAGCATCTGTAAGATTTTCCTATGTCATGAGACAGCCGACCATTTTTCATGGAAAATCCTTATTATTTCATGGAGCTCACCAATTTTACACATTGTGATATGAATAATAACACTGTACCCAACAACTGTTGGTGTTGCCAGCCCAGCATTCCTTCTCCTTCACTTCTTCTGATGTCACCTACTTCTTTTGGGAAATTGTCTCCTAACTTCACGTGGTTCTGATGAGACTCTCAGGCGAGTTATGCTAAATCCTGGTCAAAACGCTGGGTATGTGCCCCAGGCCTGGTCTATCAGAATTACTTATCCCCCAGCCACTGTGATTGGTCCAGGGTAGGACATATGCTTCAAGTTAGGCCTGAGGTTTTGTATATGTCTACCTCTCCCCCACCCCCAGATCACATCCTCTCATCCTGCCCCTCCCACCACCACCACCACCGCCAAGTAGTGAAAGGCTGTATGGAGTAAAAGAGAATATTATCGATGCAGAAACAGGAGCAGAACTCAGAGATGGAGAGAAGGACGTGTAGGCATGCAAGGGATAGTAGGACAGAGAAAACCCAGATTACATGGTTTAAACCTCCAGAATACTGGAAGCCAGCTCTTCCCCCCAGACTGCTCCATCAAATGTTTCCTATGTTGCGTAAACAAATTTAAGATGGTTTTTATCACTTGAGCTAACACATATCCAACACGTTTTCTTTTTTTTTTTTAACTTTATTAATTTTGAGCAAGACAGAGAAAGAAAGAAAATCCCAAGCAGGCTGTGTGCTGACAGATGTGGGGCTCGAACCCACAAACGACAAGACCATGACCTAAGCTGAAATCAAGAGTTGAACGCTTAGCTGACTAAGCCACCCAGGCGCCCCCAACATGTTTTTTGATAGCAAATGGGAATTTTACCCTGTGTAGTTGGGGAATAAACAATAAAGTGGCTAGCTTTATGCTATGACATCATTACCCTAAGGATAGCAGGTTCCAAGCAGCCCTCTGCTAGCCCATCCGTTGTGTGTCAAGCTGAGACCTGCCCCAACCCCAGCCCCAAGGCTGTTTCAGTCCCGCCCCCTCCTGGCAGCCTTTCTCCTTTCTGTGGTGATTCAGCCTGCTCCATGCACACACACTCTCCCAGCACATATACTTCTTTATTCCTGAGCTGGATTTGCACTTTCATCTGTCACTTTTCTGTCTATTTGACTAAAAGCAGCCCAGTTATGGGCACAGAAGGTCATTATTAAATCCTCATTGGCGGGGCGCCTGGGTGGCTCAGTCGGTTAAGCATCGGACTTGGCTCAGGTCATGATCTCATGGTTCATGGGTTAGAGTCCTGCATCAGGCTCAGTGCTGACAGCTTAGAGCCTGGAGCCTGCTTCAGATTCTGTGTCTCCCTCTCTCGCTGCCCCTCCCCCACTCACGCTCTGTCTCTGTCTCTCTCAAAAATAAATAAATCTTTTTTTAAAAAATCCTCATTGGCTACTTGTCTCAGCTAAGAGGGTGATGTGGAGAAGGCCTGAGGACAAAGTTGTGCCCCTGGCTCCAGCATACCTGTGCGGTTCCTCGGGCTCTGGAGTTGAACGATCCCAGCTGCTTCAGCCTTCACTAGCTGTGAGAGCTCAGACAAGTCACCCTCCCAGAACTGAAGTTTTATCTGTAAAGTAGGAGCAAGAACCACCATCTTGCAGGGCTGTGGCAAGGAGAAAAGGTAACATACGGCAATGAGGCAGTCCAGCCCTAGCATGTAGGAGGTGTTGAAAAAATGAACTACTACTTACTGTCTTACTTAGAGATGGCCAGGTGGTTGATGGGAACATCGTGGCCATGAGGAAGATAAGCCATCTAGCACAGCTTTAGATAGGCAAAGCTAAATTATGAAACCATTCTTGACCCTGTGTCTCTACAGCCCTTTAATTTTGCACCTTTCTTGTTTACTGGTACCCTCTAGGGGTATTCCTGGGTCTCCCAGCTCCAGAGAACATGTCATCTTGGCCTTCATAGGTCTTTCTTCTCACTCTTACCTAACCAACCCTGCCCTTTTCTCAGCTAGTCTAATGAATGATTGAGGCTTCTGTGATCACCATTGCTAATGAAGCCACTCTTCCCAAATATGGTTGCATGTTAGCGGGGATTTTTGCAGTATAAATGCCTGAGTCCAGGTGTTTTACAACATTTTTGCCATTTATAGCACCTTCTATTCTTCTCTCTTGTGGCTGCTATATTTTGAAATTTATATCTTCTCCTAAGGGTATAATTTATTTACTAAAATTAACTTTCCCACTTTATTAATTATAGAAATGGTCGCCATTAGGGCTCAACCCACCAGCATGATATGGTCAGTGCCTCTACATTGAGTGAATTCATTTCAGGCCAAGAGGAAACAAATTCGAAGTTCCAATGAGCCTATTTATGATTTTGGCTGGGTTTGTCGGAGTACTGAAATAATCTAAGAAGCCCCATGACAATCATACTGAGTGGCATCCCTATTTTAAACCACCCCCCTCCCCCACTAAAGAAAGCTGTCCTTTTTGGTACCAGGTCTGGGAGAAGGCTGGCCCTTGAGCCCCTCACATCTCACCTACTAGGTAGTCCCTCGGAGGATATTACCAGCCCCTACGGCTCCCTCTGCCTTATCTTCATCTGAGCTTGCTTTACCTAAATTCAGCTGGGCCTTAGAACACAATGCAAATCATGCAGAACGCTATTTGTAGCTATTTCACATACATAAGCATTACTGCCCATCCCTAATTGGACTGGATTTGGTCATGAAATTCCTTAATTCTGACTATGTTTTCTCCCACACAAACGATTCATAGGAGGAAGAATGACTCATTTTAAATAAGTATCTCTTCCTCTGTTCTTTTCCTCTCCTCTGCACCTCACCCGCACCACGACTACACCATCTGCCCTTTACAGTGGAAAGGGTCCTTTAAGGCGGTAAGAAGCAATGTGTTTTGTAGAAGGCAATCTCCCAAACTGAAGTAGGCCTGAGAAGCCATTGTTCTTATATTCTCCAGCCACAAGCCTGTGAAATAAGTTTATGTTTCTTCAGAAAGAAGTATCTTTCACTTGCTAGCCCCTGTTCATTAGGTACTGTGATCTACCTTTGCCTCTGAGTGACCCTCATGGAGTTGGTTTTATGTCCACACATTTTTCTACTTAGATGGGAAAACATGACTGCAAAATGAAAAATGGTCTCCATGGTACCAGAATCTTTGGTTTTCTAGTGTTGACCTTGCCTTACCCTCAGCACCCCCATCTTCCTTGGGGAATCTCCCCCACTGTCTAGATGGGAAGTAGGGAACCCCATCCTCTCTTCCACTATAGAGTGGCTACAGAGCAGCCCTTATAAGAGGCCCTGCCAGGCTGGTGCTCCCCAGACTCTTGAGCCAACGAGGCAAGGACATGGCAGGTTGGAATCATCAGTGTGGCAGTGGCCAGGCTTCTTTCAAATTCCCTGACCCTCCATAGTGCCCCTGGATCCTACTTCTTGCCCAGGCTGGGTTCTCTGCCTCCCCATCAATTTTGTGAATCCCTGACTTCCTTCCAGTAATTCCCTTTTAACTTAGGGTGGTCTCAGTTGGTTTCTGATGACTATATCCAAGACCCCTGACTTATTCTGGTACCAATGTCATGGTGAAGTAGATATAATAGTACCTATTAGTGGTGGTTCTGCTGCCAACATTTCTGGCTTTGTGGTTCTGCTGTTTATTGCTTATGCAACTAAAAGCTTTGACTCTGATATAATCAATTGTAATAAAATGGCTAGAGAAAGATCAGGACAATATTGGAATAGGGAACAAACAATTTGCAAAGGGTCTAGTTGTGCAACTTATTTCTCAACACAGCATCTAAACACCATAATCATAGCACTTGGAGACAGCAAAAATGATTGATTTTGCAGAAAATATTTGTTGTTTAATTACAGGATCATATGGGTCTTTTGGCAACCAGCAGATGCCAAAACAGACTTTAAGCACCATCTTGAGAAACTTGTGATTTGCTTAGTGTGCTTTTAATTTAAAGCATATGGCTTCACATTCAACTGCGGTGTCCAAAATGAAGACATTAGTAATGAATCACTCTATTGGAGAAAACGCAGTGCTCCCAGATCAGGTCTTTTGGTCTGTGTACTCAAATGGTTCTGTTTAGAGGCATAAACACGAAGCAGCTCTCTGTTTTAGCTGGGTGTTCCTGGGATGCATGTGACATCAAAGGGCCTCACAAGCGAATTCTCCTGCAATGTACCGTGCTTGGCACCAGGGCCCGCCTCCATCTGAATAAACAAAGTACAGTTTGGTCACTAGAAAGAATGCCCAAAAGATCATTTATTTTATGGCAACTCTTCCTTTTTTTAGTTTCTCAGCCTAATAGCTTAGCCTGAAGCTTCGTGGGAATTCAGCTATCCTGTATGGAAATTCAAAACTGCAACCCTTCTAAGAATCACATTTGTGACTGCAGGCAGGGCACCTTGGTCTTTTGAGACCACAGGTGGTCTACCTGCTGGTGAGGGATGGCCAGTGTGCATCATAGTGCACAGCATAGTGTGCAGCATAGTGGCAAAAACATGGGCTCAGGAGTCAAATTTGAATCACATGGCCATGTTCGAGTCCTGTGAATTCGAGCACAGGATTTCAATGATCAGATCTATAAAGTGGGGATAATAGTATCAGTCTTATAATGTTGTGAGAATCAGACGAAATAGTCCACTGTCAGATCTAAGCTAAGAATCTGGTACCTAATAAGCTATAATAATATAACTGTAGGCTATTATTTTAATTTTTATTAAAGGCAGGATCTATTTCTTCTCTGCCTCTTTGCTTCTAGCCATGTTATGCCTTTGCTTAAATTCAATACATTTAAATTTAGTAAAGTGCCTACTGCATATTCACCCATATCTTCTTTTATCATTTTTAAAACTTTTTTAATATTTAGATTTAGTATAAATATCCTTGAAATGTTTACCTTTAAACTGTCAGAATTTATCTAGCACAAATGATTAACTTCATAAATCAGTCATCATTGATGACTGTTTTCCCTTCTTGGAGGTCTTGCCTTGCTCCTTTATGACCAGGTACCAATGACAGGAAGGTAAAAGCTAAAAGCATCCCATTCAGCATACACAATACAAAGTTCTGAAGACAATCACTTCCTTGTTTATATACAATTTAATGATTTATTGTGACACTTTTAATGGCTTAGTCTTTTAATTGGGTTTTCTGATGCATTTACAACAAAAAAAATTTAATATGTTTTTGGTGTTTATTTATTTCTGAGAGAGAGAGAGAGATTGGGGGCTAGGGGCAGAGAGAGGAGAACAGAGGATCCAAAGTGGGCTCTGTGCTGACAACACAGAGCCTGATGCAGGGCTCGAACTCACGAAATGCAAGATCATAACCTGAGCCAAAGTCAGATGCTTAACCAACTGAGCCACCCAGGGACCCCATAACAAAATTTTTAATATAGCGTGAATAACTGTTAATGGTATTTGTCTTACTTCACAAGGGTGCAGGGGCAGAGAAAGAGGGTTAAGATTCACTCTTAGGTCCTTTTCCCTTTTTGTTTCTGCTGTTCTCTCTTCAGCCAAGGTTTTCATCTCCTTACACTACTGCAGTGTCCTTTTTTATTCTTCCTTTTGTCCCTCCTCCAATCCATTCTACATGCCTCTGCCAGCACTATATGTCACTCTCCTGATCAGAAGCCTCAGTGTCTCCCGAGGGTCCACAAGATAAAAGACAAAATCCTTAAAACTGACTTCCAAACCTTCACCATCAAACTTTATTTTACGTTTCTCCACTTCCCTGCCCCTGAAATACACCTTCCTAATTAGTGGTGATTCTAGGGGAAAGCCTACAAAGCACTCTGCTTCCATAATATTAGATCCATGAAAAAGCTCACTCAAATAAAAGTACTAGTATTGTTGAAATTGAAAATACTAATTGCCCATGTACTATAAAATGTGAAAGAAAGCATCTTTAGAAAACTGTCATGCTGGGAAAAAAAAAAAAATCAGGGGCGCCTAGGTGGCTCAGTCAGTGAAGCATCTGACTTCAGCTCAGGTCATGATCTCGTGGTTTGTGAGTTCAAGCCCCATCTCAGGCTCTGTGCTGCCAGCTTAGAGCCTGGAGCCTGCTTCAGATTCTTTGTCTTCCTCTTTGTCTTCAGATTCTTTGTCTTCCTGTCTGCCCTTTCTCCACTCATGCTGTGTCTCTCTTTCTTTCAAAAACAAATAAACGTTAAAAAAAAAAGAAAAAATCCAATAGCATATTATCCAAGAAAAAGCAAAACACTGAGTGCTTGCTGCATAAGCCATTTGATAACCCATACTTCTTTATTCTAAAGGATTGTTTTTATAAATGTCATAGTCAGTGTTTTCAATGTCAGCATCAGGCTCTCCACTGACAGCTCAGAGCCTGGGGCCTGCTTTGGATTCTGTCTCCCTCTTTCTGTTCCTCCTCAGCTTGCTCGCGCTCTCTCTCTTTCTCTCTCTCAAAAATAAACACTAAAAGATTTTTTTTCATTAAAAAATTTTTAAACGAACATATTATGGTTTTAAAATGTTACGAAAAATCTCTATGCTCATCCGTAGAAAACTTGTTAAATGATGGCACAGCCATAAAAATGGAGCCATGGAAAAGAATGAGTCATTATCTCTATATATGTATTCTTATAGGATAGCCTCCATGTTATATCAAAATGTGAAAAAAGCAAGGCACAGAGTAAAGAAATATGCTCATGTTTGAGTTGGGTTATGGTTTTGTTTTTTGTTTTTTTTTTATTTTTTTTTTTTAACGTTTATTTATTTTTTTGGGACAGAGAGAGACAGAGCATGAACGGGGGAGGGGCAGAGAGAGAGGGAGACACAGAATCTGAAACAGGGTCCAGGCTCTGAGCCATCAGCCCAGAGCCCGACGCGGGGCTCAAACTCACGGACCGCGAGATCGTGACCTGGCTGAAGTCGGACGCTTAACCGACTGCGCCACCCAGGCGCCCCTATGGTTTTGTTTTAAGGACAGGAGCTATGCAGCCTTAGGATTATATCTACATAGGCTATTTCACACGATACAGGAATGGCCATGGTTGCCTCGAGAGCAGGGACTACGGTTCTGGGGAGGACTTATTTTTCATTCTCTACAGTCTTTTGTGCTATTTGACTTTTTTCCTATACCTAAAGTGTGTGAATTTTTCAATTAAAAATATTAATTAAACATTGTTGACTGAGATTTGTCATGAAATTTTACTCTCATTTAATAACCCTTAAGCTAAGAGGGAAGGGAGCTGTACCAAGAGATACAGAAACCAAGTAAGTCAGCATTTTTTGGAGTTAGGGGGAAAAAATAAAACCCTCTTAAACAGAAGAATATTCTTGCAAGAACTATGACCGCATAGTTTTCAGAACTTAAGAGACAAAATAAGAGAAAGGCAAGGATAGAAAAGCCATATTAAGTAAAGTGACCCAAACAATTCTTCCAGAAATATGGGAAAAGAAAGTGGAGGAGAAGATGACACTTGAGGAACGTGGTATTGCAGATAGAGACCACATAAAGCAGATGTGCAACGTTATAATGAGTTCTCAAGCCTATGTTTCTCCTGATAGCGGAAAACAATCTGGTAGCTTCCAGGTAAACTCCATCATTTCCAGGATATTTTTTATAGTATATCTTTATTAAATACTGTTAATTCTGGGCTCTCCTCCCACATTCTTCTTTTCTTATCCCCTTAGCCAAATTTTAAAACATTTTTTACTCTATGTATTGCCTATATTCCCTCCCCTGCAGACTCCCTTGGGCACATCCCTCTTCCTGAAACACACTTGTCAGGGTCACTAAACACCTCCAGGTCACCAGATCCAGAGGACCTTCTCTGTTCCTTCCTTCTACCTCCCAGCAGCATTTGACACAGCTGACCACCTCACCATTCATAAACCACTCTCTTTTCTCGGTGCCTATAAAGACTCACCGCACACCCCTTTGGCTTTCCCCCAGCCTCATGACTGCTCTTTGCTTCCTACTAAAACCTCAAAATCTTAGAGCTCCTTGGGCCTCTGAAAACCTTTTTTTCTCCTTTACATTTATTCCCCAAACCTGACATTCCATTGATGGGTTGACGACTCGCCAGTTCGTACGTCCTGCCCAAATTGTTTCTCTGGATTCTAGACATGCTTCCCACTTGGCATCCCCACTCAGATGTTCCACAGGTGATCTCATGCTTAACATGTCCAAAACTGAACTCGATTCGCTCATGGCCTCAGAAACCTTAGTCCTCCCTTGGTGTTTCCTGTCCACCCAAGGACCCAGGCCAGAAGTCTGGAAGTCATTATTCATTGTTCCCTTTCCTTCGCCCTCTATATCCGGTCCATCAGCAGGTTATATTTTCGACTTCCTACAAATATCTTTATTTTGCCTATCTCTCTCCCTCTTCAGCACCACAACCTGGTCCAGACAGCCATCACCTCTGGCCTGCGGTAGCCTCGTCAGTGTTCTTCTTGTTTCCATTCTTGTGCCTCTACTTGTATGGGACTCCTGCCAAAGATCGTGATCCATGATAAGAAATAAACTATCTCTATCTTTTTTCTTCCTATTCTCTTTCAGTAGCTTCCCATTGACTTAAAATTCAAATTCCTTCCGTCCCATCAAAGCCCTGCATAACCTGTCCTCAGCCCATTTCTCCAACTTTATCACACATTATGATCCCTTTTCTCACTACACTCCAGCTCTGGTGGTCAGATCTGACCTGCCTCAGGATCATGAATATGGTGTTTGCATATGCTGTTCCCTAAGCCTGGAATGCTCCCCAACCCCCACTTTTACCTCTTTTCACATGGCTGGCTTCTGTCATTCTTGAGGCCTCAACTTATCTGTCACCTTTCTGAGGAGCTATCTCTTTGGTCCTCTTTCCTATATAATTCCCACTAAAAACAACCTATTCGTCTCTTTGTTTGCACTTATCATGATTTGTAGTAACTTACCTGTTCAGAGTTGAACTCCATCACTAGGATGAATGAAATCTCCAGGAAGGCAGGGATCACATCTGTTTGCTCACCAGTGCATCCCTAGGAACTGATGCATGGAAGACTATCAATTGATTATTGCTCTCACTGTGGATTTAGGAATGTGTATTTTTGTGCAGCACTTTTTCTAGCTTTGCTATGATCTTCTTTATAAAAAGAACAAAAGTAATAAATATTCTCTTCTCTTACTAAGTAATTATTAAATATGGAAGAAAAAGCATTCATAAATAGAAATTTATATTCCAATTTTTTCTCAATTATATTAAATTGAATCACATGAGATTGCTCCTATTAGATCATTTGTTTGCTACCAAATGGCAATGTCATAAGGTTCAAACTAAGAAACAGTCTAATGAAGTGTACATATTTAGTTTAAGCTATTGCGTCAGAATAGTTCAGATTATGCTTCAGAAACAAACACCCCCCCCCCCCCCCCCCCCACACACGTCTTAGTGGCTTGTAGCCACAAAGGCTTAATTCCTCACTTCTGTTACACCTGCTGTAGCTGTAGCTCTGCTCTGTGTCATCTTCACTCAAGGACCCAAGCTGGTGGAGCAATTTCTGTCTAGATCATTGCTGGTAATTGTGGCAGAGCCTTGGCCAATCACATCCCAGCTTCTACCTAGAAATCCTCCTTTTGAGATACGTATATTTCACTGGCCAAGGGAAGTCACGTGGCCACTCCTGCATTCAGCAGGGCAGGGATGTGAATCTTCCTGCCAGGAGAGGCACGTTGGGGATAGCAACAGGAATATTGGTGTAAAAGTATTACAAACTACTACTGTCAGTCTGAGCAACTGCTTTCATCTGATAGTAGGTGTCTAAATTTCAGATATACTATATCCTAGCGGTAGATAGGATTAGGTTTATGCCATTTTAGTAAAAATATCTACATTGGTGTTCTAACTTGTATTTAGCATTTTATGATAACATATGTTTGTTGCATTTAATGAGAAGCTCTAGATGAAGGCACAAAGCATGTAGAAATCAGGAATTCTAAGAGAGACAGAAATCTCTCTACTTTGCTTGCTGATTAGAAAGATTTGGTTTGTAAAGGGGAAATAACATAACTAGGGGTGACTTACTTCTGATGTACTGCTTTATTTTTTTAAGATTTTATTTTTAAGTAACGTCAACATCCAATGTGGGGCTCAAAACCTCAATCCCAAGATCAAGTGTTGCATACTCCACCAACTGAGCCGCCAGGTACCCCCAATATACTGCTTTATACTGCTTTAAAGTTTAAAGCACCTTTAAAACTACCTATAGATAGGGGTGCCTGGGTGGCTCAGTCAGTTAAGCATCCAACTTTGGCTCAGGTCATCATCTCACAGTTCATGAGTTCAAGCCATGCATCGGGCTCTGTACTGACAGCTCGGAGCCCAGAGCCTGCTTCAGATTTTGCATCTCCCTCTCTCTCTGCCCCTCCCTGTCTCACACTCTGTGTGTCTCTCTCTCTCAAAAATCAATAAACATTTTTCAAAACATTAAAACTACCTATCGACAAAATCCAAGGATGTTTAAGGAGTTGCCAATTTGGGGGACAGGTGTATTTCCAGAGGCTTTCTATTCTACTTAGTCTAATGATATGAATACTTATAAGCATCAGGTTGTCTGGGAACATATAGGTTCTGGGCTAATTTCATTTCTTACTTGCTATGTAGTCTCTCTTTCTGCAAGATACAGATACATATAGTGTGTAAGTTCCACAACTTCTCAGTACATTTTGTGGGCTACAAAATGACTGAGCATCAAGTAATAGACATTAAAAGGATGGTACTTTGTGGGCATTGCTTTGAGTTTCCAGTGGGATTATACAAGACTAAAGGATCCAAAAGTCACCAAGAGAAGTTTCCATAAATGATAAACAGTATTTCTCACACTTCAGATTCTTATGACTGTCTAAATGTCCTTCACATGGAAGCTCTTAGAAAGATATGGCCCAGTAGAAAAAAACACATAACTTTTCTTCTGGCCTCAGTGTGCTCTGACTGGCTCATTCAAGCCTGAAGTGTAATTTTTTTTTCAGTGCTTCCAGCCTCTTTCTCATGAAATCAACCATTGATCTGAAAGTCAGAGATGCAAATCCAGAGGAAACTGGAAGCATTCCAGGGCCCACAAATAAAAAGTTAATTACCTAAGGAAAAGTACAAGAAAGACTTTTGTTTTCCACCAAAATCTCCTCCCCAGGCTATTAGCTATGTCGTACATGGGCCCGATCAATATATTAGCGCTTGAGAACCAAAGTCCCTTGGAATAAATTAATCTGTCAGGGAAAGAAATAAACAAAGAACAAATTAACATGTTTTAAGACATTGCTTAAATTTTCATAAATATAGACCTTGAGATGGGATGATGAGTTCCCAGGAGCCAGAGCTAATATTTGGTTGTAATTAAGAGTTGCTCTTTCATGTTTCGTCTGATGTAGGTGGGAAATCGCCCACGTGCTTGCAGGGTTCCTCACTCATGCTTCCTCACAATTGCCTCTGTTTACTTCATTAATAAGAAATGGATGTCTCACAAATTACACTGACACACTTAGCTTGTTTTACCTCTAGCTAATATTAAAGTAATGAAGTGCCATACCCGTGCACGCACACGCCATACAAGTGGGGACTCCTTCATGAATAGCCACATACTAATTTTTTTTTCAACGTTTATTTTTATTTTTGGGACAGTGAGAGACAGAGCATGAACGGGGGAGGGGCAGAGAGAGAGGGAGACAGAATCGGAAACAGGCTCCAGGCTCCGAGCCATCAGCCCAGAGCCTGACGCGGGGCTCGAACTCACGGACCGCGAGATCGTGACCTGGCTGAAGTCGGACGCTTAACCGACTGCGCCACCCAGGCGCCCCGCCACATACTAATTTTTAATGGCTCAAAAAGACCTAATGACCAATCCATGATACACTAGACCTGTCTGAGAGGCTTAGGCAAAAGACCCCAGTGTGCTCCTCACTGGGTACAGGTGTGGAGTGTCAAAGCTAATGATTATCAGGAAGGGCAATAACTATGTAAGTTACTCATTCGTAAAAAGCATGGGAGGACTCATTTAAATATGAGAACCAGAAACCCATCTCAAACTAACTTAGGCCAAAACGTATTTATTGGAATTCAAACAATGTCATTGTGCCTCCCCCACCCCCGCCACCCCCACTCTCTCCCTTCCTCCCTCCTCTCTCTCCCTCTCCATCTCTCACCCATTTGGGACTATTAGTTTTCAGTGTTGGTAAAATGGCCACTGACAGCCCTGATCCTATCTCATGGTCCCAAGGGACAAAGTGTACACTCTCTCTTCCAGTGCCCTTATCTCAGATCTCTTAGAGGAACTTCAGCCCTGCCTTGTTTGTGTGCCCACCCTCGAATGGATCAGTGTGGATGGGAAAGGGGATCTCTGCTGGGCCAGGCCTGGGCCACATGTTCAGCCTGACTTGGAGATGAGAGAAAGGAGGGGAGATCAGCCACATGCAAATACCTCGAAGGTGTCCCCCACAGGAAAGAGGAACCTCTCTAACCAAATCAGGGGGGAAGAGATGTTGGGGCAAAACCGTCTACCTGGAGAATTTTTTTTCCATTATATTCATCATGTTCAGTTGCTAAATGTAGCTAATTTTCAGAAGGGGAGACCAAGACAGAGATCTCTGTGACTTTACAGCAAGTCTGACTTCTTTTGACAAAATTATTGCCCTTTCTCAGGTGATCAGTAATTTTCTATCAAGTTCTAAACCAAAATTCCCTGGGGGTCTTGACTAACAGAAATGAGACACCTACATACATTCCTTCTTGCAGCTATGGTAGCTCTGTCAAGTAAATTAAAATGTTCTTTTTACCTCTTGCCCCATCTTAAAGTATCGTTCTACTTCATGGAATGTATTGGCTCTAAATATCCTATTACTTACTATTACCAAGTTATACACAGAGAAAAGAAGCAGAGTATAGTACTTTCTTTTTTATCAGTTGAGAACTTTTAAAATGCTAATTTCTGTGTTTGAATAATTTCATAACTCAGCACTCTTGAGAATTTTGCATTTTGGTAGTAGATAAAATCTGAATTGCATATTTTGATGTGAGATGCCTGCTCTCATTATAGAGCAATTTATATATTGTGAAGCCAGTTTATATAATTCTCAGTACAAGGAGACAGAGTTGGAAATATACTCTTCAAAGCTGTATTATAACAGAAAAGAGACTAAAGTCTCTGAAGCAAGTAGCTGCAGATCCGGGAGGTCAGAAAGAGTCACTGAGTCTATTTGCCTTTTAGGAGCAGGATAAGCATGGCTTGCACTTTACTAACCTTCACGCAGGACTCGCAGATTAACCCCAGCTAACAGCATGGCAAATTCATCGGGACTACAAACAACCACGTTCTGGAATGGGTAGAATTAGCAGGTCAGCCGTGTTGGCAACTAGACGAGGCACCACCTAGATCCTTATGAAGCAGAGATTTGGCTGATTAAAAGCATTCTGTCTCAAAATTACTTACATAGCATTGCATAGAAGCAGTGCATTTAACCCATGATTGGGGAATCTTATTTAAAGAAAGGTTCTATCAACAAGTGATATGTCTTAAGTGATTATGCGTTGCTTGTTTATTTTTTAAGGACAAGGACCAGAGTCACTTAGCAAAATGGAATCCCCATCAACCTGCTCTCGGGATAACATTTATTGCAGCAAAACTTTATTTGCACAAAATGGGTGTGTCGAGGACATTGGGACCTATGAAAATTCTGCAGATCAGAAATGGAATCAGGAGTAGTTCAGTATTTCCTCTTTGAGGGTTCCCTTCTTTAGGGGTGGGAGAGGACAAGGCAGAATTGAAAAGTCTCCTGCTACTGCATTCAGTAAAATAAATAAAAGAAGGCACACTGAAGAGACCAGCAAGAAAATCTTATAAATCTTTGAAAATAGTAACCTTGGGTGTAGCACATTTAACTTCTATATACCTTCCCTTGTTTGTAGGAAACGTGTCAAATTCTCCCTCCCTGTAACTTCAATGAGGGGCCTATGGACTTATTTTGCATTGCTACAGAGAATGTAGAGATTGAAGCAGGG